ACTTTGTGGCTGTTTGTGGGACATTGCTGTGTGCAAATTGGCTGCCGTTTTCACCTACAACATACAAAATCACTACACTTTGCAGTAAAATCCTGCAAAATGCTTCGAGGCGTGCTCCTAGAGTGGAAGGCAAACTCAAGGACGTCTCAAAGCGCTTCCCAGGAATTGCTGTGAAATGGAGTGACTGTGTATTTATAGGCGAACGTGGTAGGATAATTAAGCACAGCAATATCCCCACAAACAGCCATGAAACAAGTGACTAATTTTCTAATAAAATCTTTGGGCATTAATGCATCTCAGGTTGTTTTTGCTAGGTAAAGATTTGGGAGGCTTAATAGCACAATTTCTAAATGCTGAATCCCTCCCTCCGTAACCCCCTGCCCCCACCCCAACGATGTCTTGAAAGCAAAACTATGCCAAAGTGTGCAACAAAAGTGGATGCACCTTCGATTGGCAAGAGATCCAGGAATCGCGAGACAAGACATATTGCACTAAAGCAAAATCCTGATGCAGACTTTATTATCGACCGACCTACTGAATTTCCAGACAGGTTGTTTGATGGCAGCAGCCAACGAAAGAACGAAAGAAAGAAAGAAAGAAAGAAAGAAAGAAGGAAAGTGCTCTCTGTCTATTCTCTTACAACTGCTCAAGCTACTCAAATGAAAGAGAAGGCCACAAATCCATTTATAAATGACAGCGATCTTAAGTAATCTAATTATAGATTGAACAAAGTCCACCAGCCCAAAGCTACATTGAATGGAATAAAGGAGTCTGTTCTGTTAAGAATCTGTCAATCCCCATCCCTTCTCACCGCCCCCTCTGCTCCCACACTGTTCAGGAAAAGTGCCAGTTCAGAAAATTCAAGGCGTTAAGCTTTACCAGCTTTATCGTAAATAAATCTGAACATGATTGTTTGTTGTTCTAACAGCTTTAACAAGAAGCAGTGCAGATTACATTGTGGGACACGAATAATCAGATATGACCACAGTTGTAAAACGTAGGCATTCGCTAATATAAATACGTGCCTTACGAAATACACAGTCACTGCACTTTACAGTAAATCCTGTGAAGCGTTTTTGAAACGACCTCCTAACATGAAAGCTGCTTCATCAAATGCAAGGATTATTTAGTGATTAACTCGCCTCACAAGCAATAGACCTGGGTTTGATTCCCGGACGCTGCTGTGCGCAATTGGCTGCCGCGTTTCGCCCACAAAATATACAGTCAATTCATTTTACAGTGTATTCTGTGAAGCGCTTTGAGACGTCTCGAAGATGTGAATGCAAGCATTATTATTATTAGTAGTAGTAATAAATCCACATACTGGGGTCTATGTTTTTAAACAGATTTCTTGACAAGAAATGGATAATTATATTTGTAAACACTGAATGTGCATTCTTCAGTACGTTCGATGTTTCAGAAATTCTACAATTTCACATTATTAAGGAAATTGTTAAGAAATACCATAACTTAGATCCCCAATTTCGTAAAATATCACTGTTATGCTCCATTGCAACCAAATTCTATCACATACAAACTCTAACCCAGTTCTATGAATCTCTCTCAGAACAAGGTATCCAAACTTACTACTAATAATAACAATCCTTGCGTTTGATATAGCGCCTTATCACGTCTTCGAGACGTCTCAAAACGCTTCACAGAATATACTGTAAAGTGAATTGACTGTATACTTTGTGGGCTAAACCCGGCAGCCAATTGCACACAGCAGCGTCGCACAAACAGTTGTGGATTTGAGTGAACAATTTTTTTTAAAGGGATTATTACCCTCGGAAAAACGAACTGCCAATCGACTAACAACCGGGTTCCTACTTACTGCTAAGTAAACAGAGGCGTGTGGAGTAAGGAAACTTGCCCAACGTTTTGCCCTGCCCGGGAATCAAACCCAGGTCCTCTCGCTTGTGAGGTGAGTGCTCTAACCACTGAGCTGCAGGACTCCACAATAAAAAAACCATTGAGCATTTCAAATATGTTGGGTAATTTCACTAGTGCATTCCAAACACAATGAAATAATAGTTGTCGAGGAGGGGAATCCCAGAGGAAGTTTGTAAACTGCTCGGAGGTTTGTTCTTCGGATGGGTGATTTGATCCAAGGTTACGCCAATTATTCTTGACAGTTCTGGAAATGCTCCTGAAGAACAAAGCTTCTGAAACTGAAAGCACTGGGTACAGGTTGAACGCCGGTCTCTTACAGAAACACTGCTGGATTCCTAGCAAATAATTTGCGTTTGGTTCAGCGCCAGAACATTGCTGTGTGTAAATCGGTTGCCGGGTTCACTCAGAAGATACATGGTCACTACACTTCAGAGGATATCTTGTGAAGCGCTTTTTGAGAAGTCCTCCTGATGCGAAAGTTGCTGTGTCAAATGTAAGGGCTATTATTATTATGAATACAAATGCAGTAAACGTTCACTGGATGCTGAGCCAAAGCAAATCTCGTATGTTAGAGCCCCAGTTCAAGGCAATTCGAGAGCAAATGCAGAGATTTGTCATACACTACAGCTACATCGCCCACAAAATATACAGTCAATTCACTTTACAGAGTATTCTGTGAAGCGATTTTAAGACATCTAGAATACATGATAAGGTGCTATATCAAATGCAAGGATTATTATTATCATTATTATTATATATACTGCATTAGAGTTTTCCTTCAAAAAAATGTCAGCCCCATGGTTAACATATTATTGAGTTGCCTATCTTTCTCAATGACATTGGTTATTGATTCATTGGTTATTCCGAAGGAGTCAAAGGTCTAATAAGCAAATGCAATGGACGAAGAGAGCCTATGTGAAAGGGAGCAGGAATTAGCTTGTCAGACGTGGGGATGTAACATGAGTTGGGGTGTGAGGCAGTGATCAGCAGGAGAGACACAGAGGGATATTGCTACAGTCTTGGATCAGCTGTTCATTTCTGGTTAAGCCCCACTTGTGAACTCCGTGGCATTGTTTGGACTTGGAGATTGTTTGGAGATTAACTTCTAGCCTTGAAGCACTGCCACAATGTCTGTTATTCTATATGGAACGAGGGTATGGACCAATTAACTACTACGTCAATCAGCGAACACCAGCCTGCATCTGGCCCCCTGCTCTCTCCACCCCTCCATCAGCGGGTGGGCGTTTAGCCATTTTGCTCCCTCTCTCTGAAACTCCATCCTGGAGCCCCTCCGACTCGTCCCCCTCCGACGCACTTTCCAAGGCTGCCTCAAGACTTACCACATTGGCCCGTATCCCCGTTAGGAGCTGACAGTGCTGTGTGAGCCCCATTATTCCCCTCTTTTTCTTTGCAGAGTTGGATCATAATATTTGAAGCCAGTGGTACAGTGGTTCATTTTCCAAGCTAAGGGCACAATGAGAGACAAATGCGCACAAAGGAGTTGAATAATAAATAGTCATTTGATATGTGCATTTGATATAGCGCCTTTTACGTCAGGTGGGCATCTCGAAGCGCTTCACAGGATTTACTGTAAAGTGTAGTGACTGTGTATTTGCAGGTGAGCGCGGTAATTAATTTACGCACAGCATTGTCCCCTAAACAGCCAGGAACTGTACAATCAATTTTATCCGGGGGATTGTTGCTAGCACACCGGGAAAAAAACTTTCTACTCTTTGCCACGGGATTATTAATGTCCACCTGAGCAGGCGGACGCAACCCCAGTTACGCATCTCATCCAAAGGACGGCACCTCTGGCAATGAAACACACTCCCTGCACTGCAATGGAACGTCATCTTAGGGGATGCAAATTAAAAGTCCCGATGTGGGGCTTGAACCCATGACCGTCAGACACAGAGGCGAGAGAGTGCTACCGACCGAGCTAGGCTGACACCAAAGAAACTTAACAGTTGTGGCTGCCCATTGCTGTTAGAAACGGATTAATAATAAAAAAAAACAGAGATTTTGGACGCTTTAAAGCTCTCCAGTTCCACCAAGCGCTCCGAGATGCCACCCCGCATGAAAAATGCTGTACAAATGAAAGTTGTTGTTGTACAGTGTCCTTACACAGCGGGAAACATCCGCTCGCTTGTTACGTGTCAACACTCTCGATTGCAAAGCACCGTGGTTGTCCAGTCCAGGGCTCAGTTGAGAGGAAACTGACGAGAAATAATAAACTATTCGCTGGCTTCCAAGTGAAATATGAAACCGGAAAGCAGCTTGGAGGAACCTCCCTTTCTCAATCCGCTGGTCACAGCTATCAACCCAGTGCAGAAACCCCGGCATTGAAATGAACAACTTTGGTTCGCAATTGTGATGAGGCTGATAAATGGACTGGCAAATCGGAATCGAGTCAGTCGTCTGTAGCGCTCGTGCTACCTGAGCCAGGTGGATCACAATACTCCAAGGAACTGTTGATGATACCCCAGCGAGCCAGGCTCATCAGCAGGATTTGGAGGGGCATTCAGTTAACGGGGGCTTCCAATAATAATAATAATCCTTGCATTTGATATCGTTCCTTATTACGCCTTCGAGACGTCTCAAAGCGCTACACAGGATATATCGTAAAGTGAATTGAATGTGTATTTTGTGGGCGAAACATTGTGCACAGCAGAGTCCCCACAAAGAGTCATGGATCGAGTGAACACATTTTTATAATTAAATTTCTTGGAGGGATTATTACCCCCGGAAAAGCAATCCGCCAATCGACTAACGACCGGGTTCCTGCTTACTGCTGGGCAAACAGAAGCGTGTGGAGTAAGGAAACTTGCCTAAGGTTTTGCCCTGTGGGCAATACAGTCACTTCTATGCTTAAGAGTATCCATACCAGACTGAACGTGTAAAACACTCGGACGAGTCTTAAGCATAGTGACGGTTTTCCATGTGTGGAACCAGCTGATTCGGGGCTGCAGAATCTACGCGAAAGCTGCTTTGTAAGTGCACATTGTGGCCGTTCGCGTTGTTGCTAAAGTTTTACCTGCTGGTTTCACTTTCAAATACCTGCGGTTTACGAACCAAATGTCAACCTATTGATGTTTATCTCTCGCCAGATAATGTCTCTTCAGCTTTCTCATCTCCAGCTAAGAGCTTGGGCGATCCTGGGATCACCCCACTCAGTCCCTCAATCTCTACGGTAAGCAGTTACATGACTTTCTCCTGCACATCGCATTCATTGTTAAGTTTCACTGTCTCAAGTTTTGAGTCAGTAGATAATTATTAGTTGTCAGGATCATGGTCTTAATGAGGATGTTAATGACAACGTGAATATTATAGTTTATGGTATCTTAACCTAATGTAATGAGACAGAACAGCTTCAGGGATGGAATATATAATATAAACAGATATTAATATAATCTTCATTAATCAGATGTAATTTATTGGGTATCATGACAATTCTTCCATCTGATAATAGTTGTCAAGAAGTCTAAAACGCTTCATATACTATATACTATAAGGTGTAAGTGACTGTATTTTATGGGCGAAATGTTCAAGCAACGTGACACAAACAGCCACTGAGTGGCGCTATATCAAATACAAGGATTATTATTATTATTATCCATACTCCTCTGCCAGGAGGATAGTTACAAGTTGGGTCATAAGGAGAACGTTAACCGTAATATAAAATCATAGAATTCTACAGTACAGAAGGAGGCCATTCGGCCCATCGTGTCTGTGCCGGCTCTTTGAAAAGAGCTTCCAAATCAACCCCACTCCCCCGCTCTCTCCCCGTAGCCCTGCAAACTTGTCCTCCCCAAATATCTATCTGCTTCTCTCTTGAAAGTTGTTATCAAATCGGCTTCCAACACCCTTTCAGGCAATGCATTCCAGATCCAAACAACTCGCTGTGTGAAAAAAAAATCCCCAACCGTTGGTTCTTTGGACAACTATCTTAATAAATCTGTGTCCTCTGGTTACCAACCCACCCATAAACTAGCTATTGTTCCGCGTTACAAACGGCAATCCTAAAAGACTTTATTTCACCGCTTTATTCTTACAGAAAGACTCTGATCAAGCCGTGTCCTTGCATCAGGCGTATGTTGTGGTCATCGCTATTGATTTTGGCACCACTTCCAGTGGGTATGCGTACAGCTTCACCAGGGACTCCGAGTCAATTCACATTATGAGGTAAGTACTGCAATGCAGAGGCACTGCCGGTTTTCTGGCTGCTTCTCAGAAAATAACAGAGTCTTGGGAACGAGAATGAATAAGAAATTTTCGGGGCAAGCACAAAGCCTCCTCCCCCACGTTAAAGATATCTCTGGACTGCTTCGCTTTTGTGCCTTCCAAAAGCGAATGAATCATGTCTCATCATAATAATAATTCTTACATTTGATGCAGCGCCTTGTGAATAACACAGGCTGCTTCATATAGTTTATGAGATGTTCCTTTCAGGTTAACAGGGCAAAAGCAGAATTCCACACCCATTTCAATCTCAAGTGGAATACAAATGTTTCAAAGCCCTCACATCGAATCGCAGAGCGAAAACAACCACCTTAATTAATCAGAGGAGCGAAAGCGGAGGTCAGATTCCTTTTCTACAGGAAAGAAAATTGTTGAAAGTGTTATGCCAAAGGAAGCTGAAAGCTTGGTCTCGTCATTTCAAAATAAGCCTGATTAGACCGAAGGAGAGGTCAGCAACACATTAAACGATATTAAGTCACCCTTAACCGTGGGTTTGTATGCTAAGTAACCGTTTAACCATGTGAGCTCTGTGAAAGCATCTGGGCTACATCATCAGAGCTTTATTTTAGCAGCTCGCTGTGTGTCGCTGATTTATTGGAATTCAGCTAGAAGAAAACTTTGCTTTACATGGGAAAGGTCAGGGAAGAGTTACAGTGCGAGAGGGGGGCGAGTAGCATTCGGACAAAGTTCAAACAGGAAAGGCTGGGAGGGAAGGAGGAGGATGGGAGAGTGGAAGGGGTGGGGGAAGGGATGATGGAAATCGAGCAACAGCTAAAAATATCTGTTCTCTTGCACTGTGAGAAATTAGCCGGATGTTTTGTTTGTTGCGTCAACTGCAAAGTGCGGCAGAAGCATTTGACGGGAAGGATGTGCAATGGAGAGGTTGCCTCGTGGAAAGGGATCGAATTGAAATAAGTACATCAATAAAATAATAACCCCCAAAAATCCTCGCCTTTGATACAGCGCCTTATCACGTCTTCGAGACGTCTCAAAGCGCTTCACAGAATATATCGTAAGGTAAATTGACCGAGGGGGGAGGTGAGCGTAGACGCGGGCGAAGCTTGTCTCCCGATTTAATGAAAAAAAAGGATTCTCACAACATCCCGATAATAACAATGATCCTTGCATTTGATATAGCTCCTCATCACGTCTTCGAGACGTCTCAAAGCGCTTCACAGGATATACCGTAAAATGGAGTGACTGTGTATCATAACCCCAGTCCTAGTCCAGGCTCCACCGACTCCCGATCACCGAACCGATCGATTTCAAGATCCTCTCTCTCGTTTTCAAGTCCCTTCGTGCCCTGGCACCTCTCTGACCTGCTTAACCCCCTACCCACCCCACTCCACCCACTGCCTCCGCTCAGCTGGCTCCGGCCTCCTATTTGTCCCTCGTCCCCTCCACCGTTGGTGGCCGTGCCTTCAGCCGCTATGCCCCGAATGTCTGGAAGTCTCTCCCGCAATCCCTCTGCCTTGCCCCCTCCCTCCCTCCCTCCCTCTCTCCCTCTCCACTTTCAAGTCCCCCCACAAAGACCTTCCTTTTTGATCACGCTTACGGTCACCTTCCCCCAACTCCCTCTCCGCCCTGGCTCGGGGTGGGGGTTTTATACTCTGCCAGCGTTAGGCGCTCCAGGACACCACCCCGCTATATAAATGCAAGTCGTCGTCGTTGTTGTTGCTGTTGCATTTTGTGGACGGGTGAAACGATGGGGCTGAGCGGGTGTGCTTTGCGTCTCTCTCTCTTGTTCAGACGATGGGAAGGTGGAGACCCCGGGGTATCTAATCAGAAGACCCCCACGACCATCCTCCTGACGCCAGAGGGTACCTATCACAGCTTTGGGTACGCAGCCAGAGACTTCTATCACGACCTGGACCCCAACGATTCAAAGCAATGGCTGTACTTTGAGAAATTCAAGATGAAGCTGCACACGTCGAGTGTAAGTTGCTATCTTATTGCTCCTCTCTGCCTTCCCCTCTCTTCCCCCCTCTCCTATCCTCCCCTCTCCTCCCCTCCCCTCTCTCCCCTCCCCTCTTCTCCCCTCCCCTCTCCTCCCCTCTCTCCCTTCCGCTCCCATCCCCTCCTCTCTCCTCTCCTCTCCTCTCCTCCCCTCTCCTCTCCTCCCCTCCCCTCCTCTCTCCTCCCCTCTCCTCTCCGCTCCCCGCTTCTCTCCTCTTTCATTTCCTTTTCTAAGCAAAGGCTGTCAAAGGGCAGAAAGAAAAAACGTAAGCATCGTCGGACACACACAGCGGTCGCTATTTAAATGCAAAATCCCTTGTCTTGTGCCTTGTGGTAGAGCGTTAAGAGTCGTGAGTTAGAACGAGTGCCCTGGAAAGGAATGTGTGCGTGTGTTCGCTGAATGCAAAACAGCTACTTGTCACTGGGAGGAAACACTTCTTACAATATTATTCCCATTCTTCTCTCCCCCACCCCTCGTTCCCCTCCCTCCTCCCCCTTGAAAAGTTCAGGGACGGAACAATTCTCAGAACATCTGCTTTTGATTCAACTGTTGAGACTGAAAGTGTAACTAAATCTTATTTTTTCGGCCAGAGACACGGATTGGGCTGAGAGAGATAGCGAAGATGGCCGCAGTGTTTGTTCACGCGTTAATGTGACCTCAGTCCGTCCAGCGACCCGTACTCTTATCAGGGCTAACCCAGCGGGCAGTTGTCACTATATCATAGAATCATAGAATTATACAGCACAGAAGAAGGCCATTCGGCCCATCGTGTCTGTGACGGCTCTTTGAAAAGAGCTTCCAAATCAACCCCACTCCCCCGCTCTCTCCCCATAGCCCTGATCAACCCCACTCCCCCGCTCTCTCCCCATAGCCCTGATCAACCCCACTCCCCCGCTCTCTCCCCATAGCCCTGATCAACCCCACTCCCCCGCTCTCTCCCCATAGCCCTGCAAACTTGTCCTCCCCAAATAATTATCTACTCTCTTAAAAGTTGTTATGCTCATAGAGAGTCCGGCCACAGCTAAAGAGACTTTAATTTGGCATGATTAATGGACTCACCATTATTAAGGTTAGCTATGGAGCAAAAATCAAGTTGTTGGGTTATTAGATATTAGGTAGGTGTGGAGTCCTGTAGCTCAGCGGTTAGAGCAGATGCCTTGCGAGCGAGAGGATCTGGGTTCGATTTCCAGGTGGGGTAGAACATCGGGCAACTTATCTGACTCCCCACACCTCTGTTTACCTAGTAGTAGTACAAACCCGGTTGGTAGTCGATTGGCGGATCACTTTTCCGGGGATAATAAGACGTCTTTTAAGCACTCTAAGACGCTGCCCTGTGTAGAAGGTGCTATATAAGTGCAAATTGTTGTTGTTGTAATAATCTTCCCAAAAAAATAATAATTTGGGTCACTCAATCCACGACTGTTTGTGGGACACTGCTGTGCGCAATTGGCTGCCGCGTTTCGCCCGCAAAATATTGAAACAATTTACTTTGCAGTATATTCTATGAAGCGCTTTGAGACGTCTCGGAGACGTGATAAGGCGCTATATCAAATGCAAGGATTATTATTATTAACCTTGTTCCATAGACACTCGTCAAGGCTCCAATATGTTGCTCACGTTGCCAATCTTCAAATGTCAAACAGTCCTGCGTGCGGGGATTCAATTCAACTTCCTTTTCTTCAAGATCCCCCTGTTCCTCCTACCGAAGATTCGTGATCCTGTGGAGTCCCATAGCGTAGTGGTTAGAGCGCTCGCCTTGCATGCGAGAGGACCCGGGTTCAATTCCCTGACGGGGGCGAAACCTGAGCCAAATTTCTTTACTCCAAACCCACGCCTCTTTACCCAGCAGTATGTGGAAACCTGGTTGTTAGTCAATTGGCGTAACCCTTTACGGGGCTAATAATCCCTCCCGAAATTTTGTTACTCAATCCACGGCTGCTTGTGGGACGCTGCCATGTGCAATTGGTTGCTGCGTTTCGCCCACAAAATATACACAGTCAATTCACTTTACAGTATGTTCTGCAAAGCACTTTGAGACGTCTCAATGACGTGATAAGGCGCTGTATCAAAGGCATGGACTATTATTATCATTATTAAATACTGTGGAGATCCCCAGGTCCAATAATTTGCCCAAAACCGAAGCTCCGAGGAGACATTCCCCCCACCCCCCACCACCCCCCCACTCCCCCCGCCCCCACCACTCCCCTGCATTAGCAATTTCCTGTAGTAATAATGCTCCTGACCCCTTTCAGCGACCTTAATTAGTGCTAAATTATGGATAGCTTTTGTGCTGTGGTCTATGTGTCTACTGGGAGCTGGATTGAAAATACCCAATCTCATTTCCCCTTGGCATCTGTATCAGTCATCAGAGAAACAGGAAACATTTTCTGCTCTCTGTCTGGGCTGGTCGAGCTCTAAGGTGAACGAACACACAGGGGTTTGAGCCAAATGTGGTGCCTAGTATCGTTGACCTTTGCAGTTGTTCAGGATACATGGTCTGGAACATTCCCATTTCCTGATGAGACTTTTCCTGTAGATCTCAGCCTTCTACCCTAGTGCCTTTCGTTCTGTTTATCTTGTGTTTGTTGTGTGTATGTGTCTGTGCGTGTGTGTAATGTGTGTGTGTGTGTGTATGTGTTGTGTGTGTGTTGTCTGTGTGTGTGTACGTGTGTGTGTGCGTCTGTTTGTGTGTGTGTAGGTTATGTGTTTTGTGTGTGTATGTGTATTGTCTGTGTGTGTGTGCATCTGTGTGTATGCGCATACTTTGCCCTCACCATCGGTGGACGAGTTTTAAGCCATTCTGCCCCATTCTCTGGAAGGGGAGGTTTGGAAGGGGAGGGGAGAGGAAAGAGAGGAAAGATCACAGAATCATAGAATTAATTATACAGCACAGATGGAGGTCATTCGGCCCATCGTGTCTGTGCCGGTTCTTTTAAAAGGGCTTCCAAATCAATCCCACTCCCCCATTCTCTCCCCATAGCCCTGCAAACTTGTCTTCCCAAAATGGGGAGGAAAGATGGACAAAATGTGGAGTCCTGTAGCTCAGTGATTAGAGCACTCACTTTGCAAGCGAGAGACCTGAGTTCAATTCCAGGCAGAGGGCGAAACCTTGGGCAAGTTTCCTTACTCCACACACCTAATAATAATCCCTCCAAAACAAAAAATAATAAATTGGTCATTTTCAATCTACGACTGTTTGTGGGACATTGCTGTGCGCAATTGGCTGCCGCGTTCGCCCACAAATATACAGTCAATTCACTTTACAGTATATTCTGTGAAGCGCTTTGGGACGTCCTCCCGACGTGAAAAGCGCTATATCAAATGCAAGGGTTATTATTATTATTAGGATTATTATTATGTGTTTTGTGTGTGTATGTGTATTGTTTGTGTGTGTGTGCATCTGTGTGTATGCGCATACTTTGCCCTCACCATTGGTGGACGACATTGCTCCCCCAACTACCTCCTCCTGCCTCCGTAGGGATGTGTCATGCCGTTTAACCCTTTATATACTGATCAGTACCCCAGTGCCTTTCAATGCACAAGACAGTTAATTTCTCTCGAGAACCAAAAGATCCATTAACTGCTCCACGGCCAAACCAATCAGCCACAACAGCAGAATACCGGTCGCCCGTAAAAAAGCCATTGCTCTTTAATAATAATAGTAATAATAATATTAATCCTTGAATTTGATACGGCGCCTTATCACGTTTTCAAGACGTCTCAAAGCGCTTCACAGAATGTACCGTAATGTGTAGTGACTATATATTTTGTGTGCGTATGTCTTTGTAAGCAGGAACCTCGCTGAGCTTGGGAAGAGTTTCAGTTCTTAGGCAGCGTAGACACTAGTGATTTGATGGAACTGCAGGCAAATAACTCTTTTAATCCTTTCCTCCCCCATCCACCACCCCTCCTCCTCCGCTGCAGAGCCTCACAATTGAAACTGACCTGGAGGCTGCCAATGGGAAAAAGGTCAAGGCCCTGGAGATCTTTGCCTTCGCTCTAGAGTTCTTCAAAGACCATGCGCTGCAGGTAAGTCAGCAATCCATAACCTCAGAGAAACATTCGCCTGCTTGGCATTCGGATAATATATTATTATACTTTCCTACAAGTAATAATAATAATAATAACTACAATCCATGACTGTTTGTGAGACGCTGCTGTGTGCAATTGGCTGCCGCGATTCACCCACAAACTATACAGTCAATTTACTTTACAGCGTATATCCTGTGAAGCGCTTTGAGACGTCTCGAAGACGCGATAAGGCGCTATATGAAATGCAAGGATCATTACTTTTATTATCTAATGTATTCCCACCAATGTATATCTCTGTTCTATGCTCTGACGCAACCTACCAGCACAACACAACACCAGCACAGCAGCCTGGGCTCAGGTTTTTTGGCACAGAGCACAAAAAGGAACTGCAGCGGTGCTAACCGCCAGTGTGGAATGTTAATAAACTCAATGGGTCCTGTCAAAGAAAACTGCCTTTCAAACTTGGCAAGGGACTTCCTGCTCTGGACCAGATTTCACTGCCGCCCACTGTAACCGGCACTCTTGCTAATAAGGGGAAGTACGCGACTCAGTTCAGTGGCCGCAATTGGCCTTCGTGCCACAAAGTGTTCCTTTACCCTTTTATCTTCCCATTTCTATATCCCAGTAATCTCCCACTGGCCCACAGGAAACGGGTTTATAAATAGAAGCTGTTTACTGTGCTCCAAGTCCGTGGAACCCCTTCGTAAGGGCCTCGAGCTTTACAAATAACTACAAGTAAAACGCATTAGCTGCCAGATGCCATTCAGTATTCTGTAGCTGTTCAGAAAGCGAAGATTTTCTTTGAGTCATAATCAATGCTAAAATACACTTTAACTTACCGTTAAAGCCACAAATATGGCTCTTACACTTTGAGCAAAGGACTCAAAGCCCTCTCTTTTTTTCTTTTGGCTCTGGTTTTCATCGACACCCAGAAATTCCTTGCACCCCCCCCCCGCCCACACCACCCACTCCCCTCCCCCTCCCCACACACTCACACACACACACACACACACACACNAACACTCCGTTGCTCCCAAACTCTGTGATCCCCATCACATTTGTGAAACGTTCATCCTCCACGAAAGGCAAGTCCTGTAGCTCAGTGTTTGGAGCACTCGCCTCGCAAGCGAGAGGACCCGGGTTCGATCCTGGACGGGGCAAAACCTTTGGCTGGTTTCCTTACTCCACACGCCTCTGTTTACCCATCAGTAAGTAGGAACCCGGTTGTTAAGTCGATTGGTGGATCGCTTTCTGGGGGGGTAATAATCCCTCAAAAAAAATTGGGTCACGCAATCCACGACTATTTGTGGGACTCTGCCGTGCGCAATTGTCTGCCATGTTTCGCCCACAAAATGCACCGTCAATTCACTTTACAATATGTTCCGTGTAGTGCTTTGAGACCACTCAATGATGTGATAAGGCGCTATGTCAAATGCAAGGGTCATTATAATGAAATCGTTGTTGTTGTACCTTTAGGAACTCAGCGACCAGACGGGGACGAAGTTTGACAATGCCGATGTCAGATGGGTCATCACTGTCCCTGCAATATGGAAACAACCAGCGAAGCAATTCATGAGACATGCGGCTTACAAGGTGGGTTCGAAACAGGTCAGGAACCGGCCTGGCTCAGTCAGTAGCGCTCTCGCCTCCAAGTCAGAAGGTGGTGGGTTCAAGCCCCCATATCGGGACATTTCTGAACTCCTATATTCCAGACTGACGTTCCACTACAGTGCTGGGGGTGCAGTGCAACGGACAGAATTGTGGGCCTTCAGATGTCACGATTTACCAAGATCCTGTCAACCTTGACGTTAAAAGATCTAGAGGCTCTGCTGAAAAGAGTTTCAGAAGGAAGTTTCTCCTGGTGTCCTGGCTGATAATTCCCCCCTCCCGCCACCCGGATAAATCAGCTATGTACTTTATGGTTTGGGTGCACAGTCAATCACTTCACTTCTTAAGCAATTGCCGTAAAACACTTGAGTGTGTAAATATTTATTTAAATAACGATGCGGGGAAGCTGTGTAACAAAGCTCCATCATTGAAGAAAGAGGGTGGCTTCCTAATACTCTAAGCACGTTATGCACAGCAAAACACTGAACCAATGCAAAGGTTGATCCAACCACGGAGCATTGAAGTGACCAGCTTCTCAGCCTTTTGGATCAGCTCAAGTGAAGTAACTGTTACTTATCGGTTACTCATTGGGCCAGGACATGGCAGAAAAGTTCTCCTGTTAAGAGTCGCTTGTGTTACACCATCACTGAGGTGACCTGGTAACATAGTGATAACAAGTCCTGCGGAGTCCTGTAGCTCAGTGGTTAGAGGACTCGCCTCGCAGGGCGAAACTTTAGGCAAGTTTCCTTACTCCACACGCCTCTGTTTACCAAACAGTGAGTAGGAATCTGGTTGTTAGTCGATTGGCGGAATGCCATTAATCCCTTCAAAAAAAAATTCGAAGAATAATTTGGTCACTCAATCATGACTGAACGTGGGACACTGCCGCGTTTCGCCCACAAACTATACGGTCAATTCACTTCACAATATATTCTGTGAAGCGCTTTCAGACGTCTCGAAGGCATGATAAGGTGCTATATCAAATGCAAAGGTTATTATTATTATTATTGTTATTAACAAAAACAATCAGTCATCCCAAGTTTTGTGCCCAGTGACAAAGGTGGCCATTTTTGATATGAGTCCCGGATGAGCAAGAGTTAGAAACCTTTTGAAATAATAATTAATTTTAACGTAACATCTTTGTGCGTGTGTGTTTGTGTTGTTGATTGAATTGAATCGATTTGGTTGTGTTCTCGTGAAAAAACAAAGACGGGTTGCGTGGCAACCTTGCATCCAAACCGCGACAATGGATTCAAAAGCTTTTACGTGAGCGCCACAAAAAATGTGACTTTTTTTTCACAAAACTTCCTTTTTCGGGAGTATAGAAACACAAAGGCTGTGTATGAAAGGTTGCCAGAATATCTCCAGCCTCCTCCATGGCTTTTGTCTCAAAAAAGAGCGACTGATGCATTGAAAGAAAATGCTACATTGTGTTTCAGGGAATAAAGCTACGCAGTAAAACTATTAATTATTATTTGTCTTCAGACGAGCGCAATTATATAGAGGCGTGTGTGTGTGTGTCCTTGCATGTGTGTGTGTGCGTGTGTGTGTGTGCGTGCATCTACTTTGAGGAATCAGCTTGCCCAATGCCCTTGGGAGTTCCTCCTGACGTGAAAGGTACTATACAAATGTAATTTGTCGTTGTTGTTGACCTCCTCCCCAGCTCTACCAACCACAGTTAGGCCACTCGCACCCTTCGCCATGCAAAGTTTTGTACTCCGCTCACCCTTCCCTCCCCCACCGCCCCCATAACCCCCGCCCTGTCCTCATCAGTCTCCATCGTCTCCCTCACTCTCACCTCCAAATCCCTTCACGTTCTCCCTCGCCTTCCCGATCTCAGGTTCGCTCTCCTGCACGCCCCTCAGCTCCACCATCAGTGCTTGAGGTATTGGTCGTTTCGCCCCCCCAGCCCCCTCACCCCCACCCAACCCTGTGAAACGACTTCCCCAAATCCACCCCCATGTCTCGCTTCCTCTCTATCTGTCACTCAAAAGGCTCTTTTCACACTCGTTTTCAAATCCCTTCACCTCCCTACTCTCCGACCTGCTTACCCCAACCCCAACCCACAACCCGCTGCCTCCGCTCGACTGGCTCCGGCCTCCTGCATGTCCCCCATACCCTCCGTTCCACCATCGGTGGCCGCGCTTTCAGCCGCCACACCCCGAGACTCTGGAACACTCTCCCTCTGTCCCTCCGCTTTATACATTATCGCTTGCATCTATATAACGTTCTTCATTTGAGGAGAGCTAAGCAGTGGCAGGGTGAGACAGCTTAACACGTTACCAACCATTGCCACGCAACTGACCTCCTCCCTCTTTGACTTGTGCCCACAGGCTGCCTTGGCATCTCCCGAATTCCCGGAGCAGCTGATCATTGCCCTGGAGCCCGAGGCCGCCTCTATCTACTGCAGGAAACTCCGTCTACACCAAATGATTGAACTGAGTGGCAAGGAGGCGGTCAACGGATACAGCCCCACCGAGACGATGGGATCTGGAATAACCCATGGTATCGTCACTCGCTTGTCACTCTGAATAACAGCAATGCCTTTCTTTTAATTGGGATTGGTGCAGCGGGATTTTCGACTAAGGATGTCTGTCGGTGTCTTCTGTTGGTGTCTAAGCTTAGGAAGTAATATTTCCACTGCAGTTTAGCTGCGTGGCACTTTGGATCCTCCTTGACACACCGCATAAAATTATTAACAAGGCATCACGTTTGCCTCACGTGCTCAGCGCACTATATTCAGCGGAAGTTATTTTATTAGGGTTTTCTTTTTACAGGAACCGTGACCTTCTTTTCATAGCTTGCGCGATACTAAAACGTTAATTTTTTTTAATGCCTGCGAAACAAAAAAAGGTTAATCCGAATATTTGTCTTGAATAATATATTTCTCCTAAAATTTTTATCTCTAAGCTGTTCTGCCCCCCTCCCCTCTGCCCCCCCCTCCCCCCGGGCCCGGTGTCAGACACGGCACCTGTCAGGCACTCTGACGCTAGGCTGCTCGAAGGGTGCTGTATAAATGCAAGTTGTTGTTGTTTAGCAAACAGCGCATGATAACTCTTGGTAGGATTCTTTGGATGTTCCCAGTGCCAATTTTAGAAGTTAACAAAGGAACCATTCTCGATCAATAATCAACAAAGTGAAAACTGCAGCGTTTCGTCCACAAAATACCCAGTCACGACACTTTATATTCTGTGAAGCGCTTTGAGACGTCTCGAAGACGTGATATCAATTGCAAGGAATATTATTATTACTAATTATTCTAATTAAAAACAGACAATTGGCCTTTTGCTATCTGGTCTTTTAAGGGTCCGCTGTCCCAAGTATAGCGTTTCATTCTCGGAACTTGCACTTTCCTGCCGGGAGGATTTCTGAATGAAAGGGATGTGATTGCCACCTTGAGGTTCTTTCGGCTATAGCCCCTGATCAGCCAGCGTGGGCTGAAAGGCTTCATTGAAAGCTGGCTGCGTCGGCTGCCAATGTAAAATTTGCGCTCAAATAGATGTTATGTCCCAGTGCTGTGCTCCGTAAGTTTACAATGCAGTTTTGATTTTCTTTTCAAATCTATGTTCGCTTGAATTGATAAAGTCGGTCAACTCTTTTCACGGCTGTCGGCAAATTTGGCTGCCGTGTTCAACTGTAAAAATACATGGTCGCTACGCTCCTCTGTCAACTTCCATGGAAGCGCTTTGAGATGTCCGATCACGTGGCAAAGTACCATATCAAGCGCAAGGATTATTGTTGGTTTTAAGACGAGTCATAGTCATCGCGATGTGGATTGCATGATTATACAAAGGCCTGATGCCATGGCTTACACAAATGCATTCAAATTAAATCTTTCTCAGTCCAATGGTTCAACTCAATTCGATGGAGTTGCACACACCAGGAAGGCTTCAAGCCCCGGTTTATTCTGAGATCCCAGCTGGCGCAGAGGTCACAACGTGCCAAAGTTTGCAGCGTTTCCTAGTGCGTTCCTAGCCACAAACATCAACACAATACGATTGACATTTACACATTTGCACAGTGCCTTTCATGTCCGGAGAACGTCTCAAAGCATTTTACACAGTGGGATGGCCACCAGAGCGGGGGCAAGCGGGGGTGGGGGAAGGGAGGCTGGAGGATGGAGGCTGGGAGGCTGGGAAGGGGAAAGAAATATTATTATTACTATTATTATAACTAAAAACAAACAATTGACCTTTTGCTATCTGGTCTTTTAAGCATTCGTCTTGAAGTAGGCTTTGAAAGTGGGGGATGGATGGAGGGTAGAAATTGGCAGATTCTGGGATAGCGTTCCAGAGAGCAGGGACAGAACGGTTGAAAACTTGCCCACCGCTGGGTGGTGGAGCAGATAGGGCGGGGAAAGGGAAGCAGGCGGGTGTACATGCTGAGCGGAGGGAAGGAGCGGGTGGGTTGGTTGCAGGTGGTCGCGGAGGTTTGGGTGGGGTGAGGGTGCAGAGGGATTTGGCGTGAGCTGGGGGAATGGGGAGCCAGGAGCCCAATGCTACAAGTCCTTTCAGCCAGGGTTCCCATTCATGGGTGCCATGTTTGTTTTGCCCACAAAACATACAATCAGTTCACTTGACAGTATATTGTGTGAAGCGCTTTGAGATGTCGAAGATGTGATAAGTTGCTGTATCAACCGTTATCAATTATGTTTTGAATCTTGCTGGGAAGGTTTGTGGGTGAGACATAAATTGAGGGATAATCGGGTTTGGTTACGCCAACAGCCCAAACAACTCGTAGAGACGCTGACTACCTGGACTCACACAATAGGAATGACCTCTTCTTTGATGTTCCTTAGGACTTCCGAAACACTACCCCTACATTAGCTTGATGCGGGGCTGGGGTCAAAACAGAGAAAAATCCTAAATTCCCGATCGTTTCAGAGTGAGGGAGAATTAATGCCCTCTTACAATAAATGCCGTGAATATTTAAGATCACGAGAGATAGGCAGACGCAATTCCTTAGAACGTTTGGTGAAATTTGCATGCTGCATGTTGCTGTCATGTTTCTCGCAACTTAGACAGCACGTAGAAATGTTTTTGACTTACAATGATCGAGGATAATCCGAACCGGGCCAATATCTTTCTGAATGCGTTTTCTGCTTCATTCGATTTTTTTTCTGCATGACTTTCTTTCACCTTCAAACAAACTTAAAGAAAGAAAACGCTAAAAGAGGGTTTTAAGCATTACATGTTGCAGAAAACATTGTATGATCCCGTTTGAAATTCCTCCCTGGGGAGCTGCAAAAATGTAACCTGAATTCTGAGCACAGTTGTTAATATCGATAAATAAACGCAACGTTCTTTCAGAATCTATTAAGAAATTCAAGAGAGATTGTGAACAGTTTGCTAATGTGGATTTAATTCGCATTCATAGTTTTAATACAGTGAAGTAGACTTAATACGAGGTTTAAAGTTAGTCTTTGTTCCCTACAAAAATACAGTCAGTACCCATTACAGTGATCCTATGAAGTGCTTTGAGACAGAGCCAAAGGCGCTGCTGCATGAAATGAAAGGTTTATTATTATTAGGATTACTTGTGGTCTTTGGAAAAAAATCTAATTTTATTCATTTCAATTGGTGTGGATCTGGCTACCGAATATTATCCGTCACACTTATTTGTTCATGTTTAGCCATTTATACAATAGTTATTGAGTTCCACCAGAGCAAAACGATAAAGACAGGACGGGATCATAATACAGATTTTGAATTGCACTTTAAAGAACATAAACTTTGTGATACATTTTCATTATCCCATGTGTGCCCGAGAGTAATAGTAATAAGCCTTACGTTTGGTATATGGCCGTTTACATCGGGAGGACGTCCTAAAGTGCTTCACAGGATATACAGTACTGTAAAGTGTAGTGACCGTGTGTTTTTGAAAGCGAACGAGAATGGAAATGCCTTACGGAAAATATCTTTACATAAATAGATATTTATGGCGGGGGGGTGGGGAATGAATTTTATGGTGCCCCATTCCTCTGGGAAGGATGATGGTTTCCTTTGCACTTCACAGTATTCCACACGCAGCCATTCAATGATTCGAATCGTATGATTTGTGCGGTCATCTGAAACCATTTATTAGATTTGCCGTCTCATAACCCACTCTCACTATCCATCACCCTGGCTGTGCCTCTCGCATAATAACCCTCTCCTTATAAAATAAATTATCTGAAAGCAAAGCATCTTAAAATCCAGCCTCCCCCCAGCCCTCCCGCACCTCCCACCACCCCCCAACCCCCTCCCCCCCAAAAAACATTAATCATTGAATTCTGAACCAACCCGTCTTTTTAGTAACTTAAATTGTTGCAGGTTGACGACGACTCTGTTTTCTGTACTATGCTCAGTTATCTTCTCTCTATCAACAACTAGCCAAAGAATACACACGGCGTAATCGTCAGAGCCGCACATTTTTGGTGGAAAATGTCATAGGCGAAATCTGGTCAGAATTGGAGCAAGGTAGCGTCTTCTTGTCTGGCATGCTTTGGCACTTGCAGATTTTCCCTTCGCTGGCAACGGTGCAGTATTTACTCTTTCTGTTAAACCTGCAGATTCCGCCTTCCGCGGTCCGCGCACACATTCACTCACTCGCTCACTCACGCGCGCGCACACGCGCTCGGAAACGAGACAAAGAAAAAAAACCACCCCGTTTTCACTTCACTGCAACTCACCCTGCACCCGCTTCGGTTAACTGCGGAGACTTACAGCTTGCCCAGTCGCACCTTTTTAACCTTTCATTTTTCTTTAACAAGTAATTCTGGAGAGGGAGGGAAAACTCGCTTCCATTAACTTTGCACACTTGCTTTTATGACACGGTCCTGTAAAATACTGCCACACCCCCCCCCCCCCTCCCCTATACTTTCACACTCACCTGTTGGGACAGCAGCTAGGGATGTGCATGCGGTTAAATGCATCGTAAGCTGAGAGTGTTTCTCTGATTGATTCCACTCACACACTCAACTAAATGGACGTACATCAGAGCCTCACTATTCTGCCTTAGCTGAATTATTTGGCTTTTAATACATATGGAGAAATCCTCAATTGGGTTCTGAATTTGGAAGCTGCCTCGGGTTAAGAACTTTAAGAACAAAATTGGCTTCCAAAATTGAGACTGAGTTTAAGAATTTTTCCGCACCATTCTTACACTCTTACGGGCTAAGACTTGGTGGAATTTCAGACTGATTAGACATGAAGGGAAGTTCACGATAATGGTTTCCCTAACATGATACGTCAAAGAAACTTGAGTTAGTTTTGAGTGTTTAAAAACTATATCCACACATATGTCCATTCAATTACCGAAGATGTATACAGTGTATGTCAAATGGTTGTAAAATCGTATGTTGGAAATATGTTTGTTGCATTGCTCACCATCAAGAAGTAGTTTTGAACTAATGTTTACTGTGAATAATCTGGTCCAACTCAAGTGGTAAATTCTGAAGGATGCTTTTGGCTTTAGTAGGGTCTGATTGAATGCATTGCGGCTGATGAAAGCGATTCCTTGCAAGCCCGTTAACGAGAATTTATTTTAATAGGTGATCGCTACCTTGTGGTTGACTGTGGAGGAGGCACTGTGGATCTGACTGTCCATGAGATTAAACTACCCGAAGGACACCTGAAAGAACTCTATAAGGCCTCAGGTACGTGTTGGGATTTCCGATCCCTGAGTTCAAAATATGAGTTCAAAAGTGCTGCAACAGAGTTTATTGAATATAAACAGAATCGATTTCAATCAATAATTACAGGGTGAAAGAAAACAGAATCATATTGCCCAGTTCTCCGACCCTGAACAGAAGAGCACATAGCGAGGCAAGTCTCGTCATCTCAGTCTTAAACCTGTGCTACTACAATACCCTCATTTCGGCATAAGTAATTCTAATAATGGTGTGTTGGTTTCCTAATCGTGCGTCACAGCTGTCTTCAGAACATCCTTACTCATCCCTGCACTGACCAGGGTTTCACACAGCCGATTCATACCGGACCTGATCCTTATTTGGAGTTGTTCTGCACAAACTGCAAACCATTAACCGTCTTTTAGTCCTTCGCTCAAACCAGACCGAATGAGGTCAGGATGGCCTGTTAACATATTATTTACAGCAAACCCTCCAAATAAGGTCATCCCTCATGGTCAACGTAAAGAAAAGCTGCATACAAACCTACCATTATTTTATCTAAATGATACAGCTAAAGTTCTTAAAATTTCCTCTATGCACTTAATTGATTTCATGAAAAAAAACCTATATTTTCTAACAACAAGCTCAGTGGGTTCCACAACGTGCTGCAGATTCAAGCAACTGAACAAATAACCCTTAGAGCACTTCAGTTCACATAGAATTACACAGAAGGTTACAGCACGGAAATGAGCAAATTTGGCCCAATTAGTGTTTATGCTTCACATGAGCCTGTACTCTCTCCTCTACACCTCTGGTCCCTTCTCCCTCTAATATAGGCATCAAGGTTGCATTTAACTATGAGCTTAACCGCATATATAAGCCCAACACAGTACAATTCACATCCCGACGAATTTAATATGAATGCAACAAACAGTATTTATCTGTCATCTAGCCTTGATAGATATTTGTCGGTCATCTAGATGGTAGAAATATTAACTGGCGTGCATTGTATTAATTTACTGGTATCTCTCACTGGATATTAAGAGCAGATACGGGTAACACGAGCCATTTAATAGTAAAATTAGAGACTAATATGGCTCAAAAAAGACTTATTATTTGTTTGCTGTGAATCACCTCTTTCCTCCCCCAGGCTTGGCGTTGCGCTCCGAGACATTGCCCAGCGTGAGAGGCGCTATATAAATGCAAGTTGTTGCTGTTGCTCACAAAATACAGTCACTTCACTTTACAAAATATCCTGTGAAGCACTTTGAGACGTCTCGCCATCGTGATAAGGCGCTATAATCAAACACAAGGATTATTATTATTAATAATATTACTATTGCTACCTGAGAAATGTGGCATTTGTGAGTAACCTGCTTCTGTCTGTCTGCATTTTCAGGAGGTCCCTACGGTTCCATAGGGGTGGACTATGAATTTGAAAAGCTCCTGTGTAAAATCTTCGGGGAGGATTTCATCGATCAGTTTAAGATCAAGCGCCCCGCAGCGTGGGTGGACTTGATGATAGCCTTCGAGTCGCGCAAAAGGGCAGCAGCTCCCGGGCGAATCAATCCACTGAATATCAACCTCCCTTTCTCGTTCATTGACTACTACAAGAAGTTCAGAGGCCACAGTGTGGAGCACGCTCTACGGAAAAGCAGGTAACGCACAAACCCCCAAAATAATAATGATCCGGACAGTCAACCCACGACTGTTTGTGGGGAGGCTGCTGTGCGCAATTGGCTGTCGCGTTTCGCCCGCAAAATACACAGTCACTACACTTTGCAGCGTATTCTGAGAAGCGCTTTGGGACGTCTTCCTGACATGAATCTCGCTGTAGCACATGTAAAGATTATTATCGTTATTACAAAATGCACAGTCACTGCGCTTTACAGTAAATGCCATGATGCACTTTGAGACATCCTCCCGCGTGAAAGGCGCAACATCAAATGTAAGGATTATTATTATTATTATTATTTGTGGAGTCCTGTAGCTCAGTGGTTAGACCACTCACTTTGCAAGCGAGAGACCTGAGTTCAATTCCAGGCAGAGGGCGAAACCTTGGGCAAGTTTCCTTACTCCACACAGAGCCTAATAATAATCCCTCCAAAACCAAAAACAATAATAAATTGGTCATTTTCAATCTACGACTGTTTGTGGGACATTGCTGTGCGCAATTGGCTGCCGTGTTCGCCCACAAACATACAGTCAATTCACTTTAGAGTGTGTTCTGTGAAGCGCTTTGGGACGTCCTCCCGACGTGAAAAGCGCTGTATCAAATGCAAGGATTATTATTATTATTATGTGTCCTGTGAACTGTTCGAGACATTTTTGGACAACTCAATGAGGCACACTATCAAATGCAAATGTTATCAATAGTGTTACTTAATCTTGCATTCAATTCCTTATGATTTCCTGTTGTCTTGTCATGAGCGCTTCGAGACGTCCTCTCGATGTGAAAGGTGTTATATCAACGTAGGTTGTGTTGTCTTGCAGTGTAAATTTTGTCAAGTGGTCCTCTCAAGGTATGCTGAGGATGAACCCGGATGCTATGAACGCTCTGTTTAAACCCACCGTGGACCACATTGTCCAGCATCTAAGTGAGTGTGGGCGTGAGATGGGGGCGGAATGAAACGAACGCAGCAGTTATTTGACAGTTAAATCTTGTCTTTGTTTTTTTTGTTTGAAGAGCGGTTAATGCTGCACAGTTATATTTGATTTACAAGTTAACCCGAACCGGTTAAGTTTCGCCCACAAAACACGCAGACAGCGTATTCTGTGAAGCGCTTTGGGACGCCTCAATGACAAGCTAAGGTGCTATATCAAATGTAAGGTTTACTATGATTCTTATTATTATTAACTCAGGTTATAAGGTCACTACGTTACATTCCACGACTGTTTGTGTGGACGCTGCTGTGCGCAATTGGCCGCGTTTCACCCAAAAAACATACGGTCAATTCTCTTTACAGTGTATCCTGTAAAGCGCTTTGAGACGTCGTGAAGACGTGATAAGGCGCTGTATCAAATGCACGGATTATTATTATAATTATTATTATCATTATTACTTATATGATTTTACATTATTTTATGATTATAATTATACCCTCCCAGATGGTCATCTTCATCAACATCTACTAATTATAATTAGTAATAATAACATAACATTAATATTAATTAATATAACATAATAATATCATAATATAATAATATAATAATTAATACTAATTAATATAACGGATGGTCATCTGCATCAACAGCTACTGATTATAATAATAAATATTATTATTTATGCTGACATTGTTCCGGTCGTGTGTGTGTTTCCCCCCACCCCAACCCCCCTGCCCCCACCCGACCCCCCCCCTCACCGCAGGCGATCTCTTCCAGAAGCCCGAGGTGTCGGGGATCAAATTCCTGTTCCTGGTGGGCGGATTCGCCGAGTCTCCTCTGCTGCAGCAGGCGGTTCAGTCGTCGCTCTCCGAGACTTGTCGGGTCATCATCCCGCACGACGTGGGCCTGACCATCCTGAAGGGGGCGGTGTTGTTCGGCCTGGACCCCACCGTCATCAAGGTCAGGCGCTCCCCGCTGACCTACGGGGTGGGGGTCCTGAACCGCTTTGTGGAGGGCAAGCACTCGGCCGAGAAGCTGCTGGTCAAGGACGGTACCCGCTGGTGCACCGACGTCTTCGACAAGTTCATCGCTGCCGACCAGTCGGTGGCCCTGGGGGAGACCGTCAAGCGCAGCTACACCCCGGCCAAGCCCTCCCAGCTGGTCATCGTCATCAACATCTACTGCTCGGAGGGCGACGATGTCCACTTCATCACCGACCAGGGCGTCAGGAAGTGCGGCACCCTACGCCTCGATCTGACCGGAACCGAGAGCCCCGCCCCTCCCGTCCGGAGGGAGATCCAGACGCTCATGCAGTTCGGGGACACGGAGATCAAAGCCATGGCCATCGATGTGGCCACGTCCAAGTGTGTGAAGGCCGGCATCGATTTCCTCAATTACTAAAGGGGGTTGGAGGCAGGGGGGGTGAGGGGGGTGGGGGCCTCACTCAACCCCAGCCCCCCCTCTCCCCCCCACCCTTTCACCACACCCCATCTCCCCCCACTCCTCCTCCCACCCCACACCCCCAAACGCCTGCTCTCGATGTGATCTGGAAGCGAGCGAGCGATCGATCGAGAGAGAGAGAGAGAGAGAGAGAGTTAGGGATTTTACTGGTAACTACAGAGTCTGTAGCCTGTACAAAGCCTCGATCATTTTTCCACGCCACTCGTCTCCACTGGAAAATGCCAAGAATCGCCATCTTTCAAACGGAAAACGGATACACCCGCCGGGCGTAAACGCGAATCAGCGAGCGAGCGAGGTTTCCGTGCTCTCTGAATGTAAAACGACGTTTCCCCCTCTGGTTTTTCGGAGGGAAATAAACACGATAATCAGCGTGAAAGCTAACCGTAGAATACTACTGGCTAAACCTATGCCAATGGCTTCAGTGTTATCGCTACTGCTTCTTGCTAGCATCTATTTCCTTGTTGTTTACTGTGCTTAAACAATGCACTGAATGAAATGACACCTCATCCCTCACCCCAACCGGTTTTGCGAGTAAAATGGGCAAAGCTTCGAATCTTCGGGATCATCCCTTCCCCGTCCCCAACCCCACCCCCACCCCAACCCGCCACCCCCGCCCCACGCGCCTCTAAGTAACCAAATCGAAGGTTTCTTTTTTTTTTTGAATCGCTTTGTAGATACAATATTTAAAGTATTGTACATACTTTTATTTCAAGTATTAAACGTTGTCCTCGTGAAATATTTCTCTCATGTTGAGTTTGTTGCGGAGAAGCCGGGAGTCGGAGCTGGGAACGGAGTAGGTGTCTTGACGGTCATTCAATGTCAAATGACTCAGAATGGAGCAGGAGAGCGATCACAGGGTTATAGACTGCACGGCTAACTTGCATTGTGTGGAGTTATTCCATTCAGCCACAACTATAAGATATCAGAACGCAGCTCGTGACCCCAGGGTCTTGAGATGTGCCTTCAGCCTCTCTGCACCCACCCACCCTTTGGAACCCCTTCCACCCTCTGTGACCAGCTAAGCCCTTATCGACCTGTCCGCTCAGCAAACTCCGCCTTGCTCCACATTCTCCGCCCGGCCCACCCCACCATCAGCAGTCAGGCCTTCAGCCTCTCTGCCTCCACCCTCTGGAACTCCATCCCACAGTCCATCCGCCTCGCCCCATTCCTTGGCCTCTTTCAAATCATGTCTCAAGACCCTCCTCTTCGACCGCGCCTTCGATCACCCTCCGACCCCTAACCCTCCCCGTCCTCCACCCCTCCTGATCCTAACCCCCAACTCGGGTCCAAAACCCTTGACTGTCCAGCGCCTTGCGGACGTCCTCCCGACTTGAAAGGCGCCGTGTAAATATAATGAATGAATGAAATTAATCTCCTTCGTTTCGATCTGCTGCGCTTTGGTTAAGAGAGGAATGTCTGACTGACCTTAGAATAGTTATTTCCACGTTGGCTGTTGTGAAAGCCGTGCACAGCTGCTGAATTTTGCAAGACACGAGCAGGTCAACGTGCACTGAAATAGCCTCGTCTGCTACGAGCCTCTTAAGAACAACACAATAAAAAGAGCAAGTTGCTGACACTTGCGGTTGGATAAATGATTCATTGCTTTACTCAAATTTATTTCTCTAAGTACACCCCGGGCCGTTTGCGCCCATCTTCCAAATACTTCTGCCACGTACCAGAAATCTGCGTCTCGAATAATAATAATGATAATAATCCTCGCATTTGATATAGCGCCTTATCGCGCCTTTGCAACATCTGAAAATGCTTTGCAAGATTCACTGTGTATCCTGCAATGATATACAGTGGTGTATATTGTGGGCGAAACGCGGCAGCCAATTGTGCACAGCAGTGTCCCACAAACAGTCGTGAATCGAGTGGCTAAATTATTATTATTATTTTTGGGAGGAAGGAATTATTACCCCCTAAAAGTGATCCGCCAATCAACTAACAGCCGGGTTCCTACTGACTGCTAGGTGTGGAGTATGGAATAGCTTACTAATAATAACATATCCATGTTGTTTCACAAACACTAATATTTCTCACTGGGTTCAAACTTGCTGAAATGCATGTGTTCCCACGATATGCTTAACATCAGGCACATTCCTGACATTCCAACCGAATACTTTCAAGTTTTGTGTGTGATGTTCATATATAACATGAACCCATTCTTCCTGTTACATCCAGTGCTATTTATTCGCTTGCACAGTCCAACATTATACAACAATAGCAACTTGCATTTAATATAATAATAATAATCCTTGCATTTGATAGAGCGCCTTATCAAGTTTTCTAAACGTTTCAAAGCGCCTCACAGAATATACTGTAAAGTAAATTGACTGTATATTTTGTGGACGAAACGCGGCAGCCAATCGCGCACAGCAGCGTCCCACAAACAGTCAGGGATTGAAGTGACCACATTATTATTATTATTTTTGAAGGGATTATTACCCCCAGAAAAGCGATCCGCCAATCGACTAACAACCGGGTTCCTACTTACCGCTAGGTAAACAGAGCCGTGTGGAGTAAGGAAACTAGCCCAACATTTCGTCCTACCTGGGAATAGAGCCCAGGTCTCTTGCTTGCGAGGCGAGTGCTCTAACCATCCGAGCTACAGGACTCCTGAGATGTAGTTATACCCTTTTACAATGCTGCCGTTTGACACCAAGTCAGGCAGGAGACTAACCGAAGGTGCGGGCGAAGAGGAAAGAAAGGTGCGATCTGAAGAATCCCATTCCAAAGCAGAAAATCGTCTCAACTTCTGGACTCTTCACCTTTGACTTAACAAATGGTGAGAGTTTTAAACCAGTCCGTCATCATTGCAAACTGGCCCACAGACGGAGACCAGGGATTTTTTTTGAATCAGCTGGCATTTTGATTCAAATAATCAGTGTCAAGCTTATGTCTGTGTGGGAGGAAATTGTATGAATAAATTGCAACATCTTTCACCGACACGAATTACAGTCATTTTCCTTTTTTTGTTTTCCGAATCCTGGAAGCCAGCCATTTAATATTAAATCATCAGAGTAACGCGGCATGAGTTCCACTGATGAGCAACGCTGTGAGGTGAAGGAACACAAAGCAATTTTCATCCAGACAGCGTCCAGGGTTCAAATCCACTGCGATTAAATCTTCTGAGACGCAAGACTTTATATGATACGTAACCTTTACAAAAGCAGCGACAATCAAGCGTGTGACAAACATGACAACATCAGATGTCGCACGCAATATCATCTGAAATTATACTGCCGCCACAATATAAAACAGAGCAGTGGCTATTTTAATGGAGCATTGTCATGATAGCAATGTGACTTACCAAAACAATGGGCTACAATTTCTTGAACCATTATGTATCTGACACCTTAGAAATAATAAAATGAGTGAAATGTAAGCCTACTTAGAGGAGAAAAGCCCAAAGTGTTGTATCAAGCTGTTAACCACAGCAACTTCGAAATAAAATAATGTCCTTTATCATAAACATTTAAGCTGTCACCTCATAGTGAGAAGGTTAGCACATTCTCCCCACAATAGTTAATTTCATAGTTAAATCGTCAGAAAGCCCACTATTATCTGCTCGCATTTTCCATAAGCCTCACTCAAGTCTTTAAACAATCAAACTGTTATATTATTTGCCGTCATGACTTGGCTTTAGAAACATATCTGAACAGTCATGAGCTGCTTTGTGGTTTGAAGAATAGGTTTTCAAAGGACTGAAAAGACTCTGGATTTGCAGCAATTTAAAAAAGTATGCATTAGCGCTAAGCTGCATTCATTTGCAGAACAAATTGTGAATAAAGTAATTGTCAGGATGAACCACGTCACAAAAACACCCTAACAGCGAACGATTTCTCCACCTGAAAAAGAGTAGGAACATAGGAACACGAGGAGGCCATTCAGTCCTTCAAGCCGCACGGGGAGCGGCGGGAGGGGGTGCAGCCACACGGGGAGCGGCGGTAGGACAGCGCGGGGAGGAGACTGGGCTTACCTACCCAGGTATTTAAGCACGAGGCGGCAGGGGGTGCAGTCACACGGGGAGCGGCGGCAGGGAGTGCAGCCACACGGGGAGCGGCGGCAGGGGGTGCAGCCACACGGGGAGCGGCGGCAAGGAGTGCAGCCACACGGGGAGCGGCGGCAGTGAGAGCAGCCACACGGGGAGCGGTGGCAGGGAGAGCAGCCACACGGGGAGCGGCGGCAGGGAGTGCAGCCACACGGGGAGCGGCGGCAGGGAGTGCAGCCACACGGGGAGCGGCGGCAGGGAGTGCAGCCACACGGGGAGCGGCGGCAGGGAGAGCAGCCACACGGGGAGCGGCGGGAGGGGGTGCAGCCACACGGGGAGCGGCGGCAGGGGGTGCAGCCACACGGGGAGCGGCGGCAGGGGGTGCAGCCACACGGGGAGCGGCGGCAGGGGGTGCAGCCACACGGGGAGCGGTGGGAGGGAGTGCAGCCACACGGAGAGCGGTGGGCGGGAGCGCAGCCACACGGGGAGCGGCGGCAGGGGGTGCAGCCACACGGGGAGCGGCGGGAGGGAGTGCAGCCACACGGGGCTCACCGTGGCACTCGGCGTTGGCTGTCCAGCAGCAGCTACACCGACTGCCCCATTCCCCACCACACTCGCCACCCACCCCGGACACAGACCCGGGGAGCCAACCTCTCCTCCCTCATCCCCATTCCCCCCACCCCTGCCTCACAACCTGGACCCCCCTCCCCTCCCACACACCCTTCTGTCAACCGCTCCCTCCACATCGGACTGCAAAATGTCCGCTCCCTCTGTAACAAGGCCCTGGTCATCAACGATCTCATCCTTGATGAGAACGTTGATATCATGGCCTTAACGGAAACCTGGCTCACCCCAGGCGACACCTTCCCCCTCACGGAGGCCACGCCACCCGGCTACACCTCCCACCACATCCCCCGCCCCAACCGCCGTGGCGGTGGTGTTGCCCTTATCT